ATTAGCTTATAATTAAATAAATGCTTGCTACTCCCAAGCGGTGGCGTCCAGGTATACGTGCAATATAAACATTCCGTAGTTGCTACACCGTTAACATCAGCCACACTATTGTCGAGACGATGACGATAACGATGATGCGTAATTGCAAAGAGCAGCAGCGGTGGCTGTGGCTGTTGTTGTCGTCGTTGCCGCAATTTATAAGGATTCTATTTAATTTCTAAACTATAGCGAGTAAACAATGCTAAAAAAAAGACTTAGAATTGGTACTTTTAGTACTTAGGCCTATATACTATATATATAATACTATAGTACTTACTTATACATTAATTAGTATTGAACTTTAGTAAATTAGTATAAATGCTATAATCACAAAGAGCAGTAGTGGCTGATTTAGCATTGATACTTTTAGTACTTTTGTTAGTATTTGTAATTTTATTTATTAATTAATATTGAACTTTTTACAGAATTTGGTACGAGTATTAGTGTTTTAATCTTCTAGCGTCTAGCTATGCTTACAAGTTGGATGTGGATATTGACCTTGAGAACGCTGTGTGGCCAAAGGGAGCTTACGGTCTAACAAAACCGGAATTCGGATGCCCGGAACCGGAAGAGGGGTTCACCTGGCGAGAGGGAATGCGCTTTCACGATACCGAGGACAGTTTCCCTGACAACCAGTGGAGCGACATCTTGCACTTTTACGGAAACTATGGGTATTTTATAGATACGGTCGTGGATACCAGCGGTGTGTGTGTGGGGGGGGGGTGATGACTTGTGAGAAGAAAGACGGCTATATAGCTAGAAAGTGTTTAATTTTAATTTTTAATTAATTAATTAATTAATTATTGCGTAGTCGTAATTACAACAAAATCTTATCATTATAAGCGTGCGTGCGTGCGCGTGCCTGTGTGCGTGCGTGCATGTGTGCGTACGCGTATGCATGCATGCGTGCGTACGTGTGCGTGCTCACTATCACCCACACATCACTATAAATATAAAACACCGCACACACATCCTTCCACAGTAAGAACAACATGGAGCAGCATTTCTGCATGAAGACGACGGACCAGACCAGCGACTACGCGTGGCCACAGGGCCAGTACTGCCTTTTCCGTGCCTCCAACCAGGCAATACTCTCTCTATATATCTCTCTATACTCTCTCTATATATATCTCTATACTCTCTCTATATATATCTCTATACTCTCTCTATATATCTCTCTATATATCTCTCTATACTCTCTATACACTGTGTATAAGAAACTCATAACTTTACGATGTTTCTGTCAACGGTCTGCAATACAAAGTTAACATTAAGACTGATGTTAAGACTAAATTCTGACTTATTTCTTCTGATTTTATTTTAATTCTGACAACGCGCCCCTGGAATCTGAACAGTGCTTAGTCTAAGTAACACACAACGCTCGTTTTGAGTAGAGAGAGAGTTCTGGATCGTAACTTGGAATAGAAGGCGAAATAAAGAATATATAGAAGGCATAATTAAACGTTCATCATTGCTTTTTCTAGTAGCTAGATACTCGATGATTTGCTAGTTCTATGAGTTCGATCCCCTACGGGAGTCGGGCATGAAATAAAGAAGAAGAATTTTTAACACGTTGATCTGTAAAAGCTTGAGTCTCGTTTATTTTTTTGCTTCATGCTTTTTAATTCGTTGTTCCCACACTGTTCCGTTTGTTCGTTCCGTTTCGTTTGTTCGTTCGGTTCGTTTGTTTCGTTCGTTCGTTCGATTTCGTTCGTTCGTTTTCGTTCGTTCGTTCGTTCCCGGTTCGTTTTCGTTACGTCTCGTTCGTTCGTTTCGTTCGTTTCGTTCGTTTGTTTGTTGTGTTCGTTTCGTTTCGGTCGTTCGTTTGTTTGTTTCATTCGTTTGTTCATTCGGTTTGTTCGCTTTTGTTCGCAAAGATGGGGGAACCTCTAGTGAGGATCCTCGGGCGACTAGTGAAGGACCACCGTCACTGCCGGGGAGGATGCCCGACCGTTGCTTGTGGGTTGGAACCCCGAGGCGAGAAAGTCTTACCAAATAGTAGAGGTTGAGATTACAGCGGGTAAAAAATACACGGAGCGACGATGCGATTCGCCTCTTCAAGCCTTCCGAATCTTCTCCCGCGCGGGACTCAAAATAACTCCCGTAAATTGTTCGACGATAGGAGCTATTTTTTCTACAGACTTCTGACAAAGAGCTCCATGAAAAAAAGTAATTCGCCAGCATTGCTAAAAGTAAAAACAATGCCAATCATATGTGGAGCGCCGTGCTTGTTTTTTTACGAAGGTCACGCGGATGGGGGACAGACAATCCCTGCACTTTGCTAAAATAAAATGCCACGTCTTGCGCTGCGCGCGTGCTGTGCATGTGTTGTGTACGTGTGCGTTGCGTGCGTGTGTGGGTGGTCGCGTTGCGTGGGGCGACCGTAGTGCGGCAGTGTTTGTTACGAAGGTTAACGTGTTTTTCGTGTCTTTTCATGTTTTCTTACGAAGGGTCAAGGTACCAGGCCGCGGCGAACCGAGCGACAGACTCTCTCACAAACAGATGCTGTGGTTAGACTTCCTGCTGTCGGTGGGAGTGGACGCTGAGGTGTGTCACGTGGAAGCCGTCAGTGCAAGAAGCTAGCTGCGACCAACGACCAGGACTGCGATGACCACCAATGCCGACCCACGGTATATACTAGATGGCTGCAGGAGCTAGTGCAACTGGACGACGCATCACCAATGCAAACCCACGGTGATAGCTAGAGACGGACTGCCAAGGAGCTTAAGTGCAACCTGACGACGAATCACCATGACATAACCCGCGGTAATAGCTAGACGGCTGCAAGGAGGCTAGCTGCAATGACGACGGATCACCAATGCAAAACCAACGGGTATAGCATAGACGGCTGCAAGGAGCTAGTGCAAAACTGACGACACCACCAATGCAACCCACGGCGTATAGCTAGAGGCTGCAAGGAGTAGTGCAACTGACGGACGAATCACCAATGCAAACCAACGGTTAGCTAGACGGCTGCAAGGAGCAGTGCAACGACGAACGCATTCACAAGCAAACCAACGGTTTATTAACTAGGAAGGCCTGCCAAGGAGCTAGTTGCAACTGGACGACCAACACCAATGGCAAACAACGTATAGCTAGACGGCTCAAGGATTGCTAAAGTTCTTTTTTGCAAGACTGGACGACGATCACCAATGCAAACCAACGGTATAAACTAGAAGGCTGCAAGGAGCTAGTGCAACTGACCGAGACCACCAATTGCAAACACGTATGCTAGGACGGCATGCCAAGGAGCTAGTGCAACTGACGACCAGCCACCAATGCAAACCCACGGTATAGCTAGACGGCTGCAAGGACGCATAAGTTGCAATGGACGACGAATCACCAATTGCAACACCAACGGTTATAGCTTTAGACGGCTGCCCAAAGGAGCTAGTGCAAACTGACGCGATCACCAATTGCAAACCACAACGGTCTATAGCTAGACGGCTGCAGGAGCTAGTGCAACTGACGATGACCACCAATGCAAACCAACGGTATAACTAGACGGCTGCAAGGAGCTAGTGCAACTGACGACCACACCAATGTCAAAAACCAACAGTATTAACTAGACGGCTGCCAAGGAGCTAGTGCAACTGACGACCACCACCAATGCAAACCCGCCTACTGAATAAGAACGATAATCATAACTGTGGTATCATCACCATCGTCTACTCTGACGTTCACATATTGTTATCCGGCAGAGCATTGTGGTGGTTTTGGCACCGCGCGGTGTGCGAATAAGAGGGACTACAGTTAAACACACTCAACCCTCCGCCCGCCTGTGCATCCGCCGTCTATTGATATCGGTGGTTATTCCCTGCCTTGCTCACTCATGAAACCGCTACAATAACGATATATATAATCAATAGCGTATTAAGATTGAGAACATTCTTAATACGCTATTGATATAATATATATATATATTTATATTATTTATATTAATATATTATAGTATAGGGGCCTACTATATTATTATATTATATATATATATGGTATATATGTTTACGTCTTTATATATATATATTATAATGTGGGAACTGACCCATAACATCGCTTACGCCCGTTTGAATACGTCAATAATATCGCTTGTCCCTGAGTTCATTTCGATGAACTACTGGCTAGCGAAAACTGATAAAAGAGCTCTATAAACTAGACTAATAATATATTATATATCATATATATATATATATATTATATAGAGAGGAAGAGAGAACGAGAGAGGGAGAGAGGAGGGAGAGAGGGAGGAGAGGACAGAGAGAGAGAGAGAGCAGAGAGAGGAGATGAGAGACGAGAGAGAGACGAGAGAGAGAGGAGAGGAGAGAGAGAGAGAGAGAAAATAGCACGTATCTAGAGAGATATGCAGAAGAATTTTTAACTGTGATTATAAATAAACGATATGACTTTTGTCCGGTGCGTCGGCTGTGTGCCTGTTCCCAACCCGCCACGTTGCTAAACGCGTTCCCGATAAAGGGGTATGAGTAAGCGTTATTTCCTATGTTTTGGGGGGGGGGAAGGGTCACGCAGCACGACAGCTTGTACGTATGTAATTTGTCGTACGTGCATGCCACGTATCTTGACGCGCGGCGTGCTGAGCGAGGCGACGTTCTGCCGGCGTGAGTTTTTGATTATACATTTTTTGACATTACCGTCCCAATGAAATGAGTAGGCGTTATTTTTTATTGGGGGGGGAGAAAAGCGTCTTGTGGTAATACGCACAACAACACACGCGCAGCGCGACGTCTAGATGTGTGTGTGATGTGTTGAATTCGTCATGTTTTGTCGATATGTTGGCCCGCATCGTGAGCCGAGCGACGTGCGTGCGTTGTCTGCGTGTGTGCGTGCGTGCGTTTTTTATATACATAGCGCCCTCACATAAAAATTTCTCCTACCGGCGGACAATTTCTTATATATATATACTATAATTGTCTATTATATATACATATTCTCTATTCGTTACATCTCTTCAATTCGATCGTTCAGGCCCCATAGCCCGCTCCCCCGGGCGTTTGCTTTATCTTAGTTTGTTTTGGATTCTCAACCGTTGACGTTCGAACCCCGTTCGTCTCAAAAAATGTCGCGCGCTTGGTGGAGTTTGGCACACAACTTTAACGCGCACCTGCTGACACTTTCACCAACGATACAACACATCGTACGATAGAGAGAGAGAGAGAGAGAGACGGACACACACAGGGACGAGCGAGATTGATAGATCACTTGTCAGATACACGACGTCAGTGACAATGACGACGACGATAACAGACGTCAGATTAAAGGTGAGATGACAAATAGGATGATGACAGGTACGAGGGCACGTGTGATTACAGGTAGACGCACAGGTATGCGGCGACAGGTATATAAAAGACTGCGGGATTACAGTCGTTCTCTACATTACTATTGTGTGTGTAGTACGATCGACTGCCATCATGAAGTGTCTCCTAGTCGCGCTATGTCTCGCAGGTAAGTCAAATGTTGTATTTTAGCTTAATTAATTATTAATTATATTTAGTAAGGTTTTTGTTGTAGCTGTATGTATAGTTGTAGTTTTGTAAGTTTTATGATTTTGGCAAAGGTTAAGCAGGGGATTGTAACCTTGCAGATATTTAGTATATAAGTATTATTTATTATTAATTATATTATATAATTAGCTTATAATTAAATAAATGCTTGCTACTCCCAAGCGGTGGAGTCCAGGTATACGTGCAATATAAACATTCCGTAGTTGCTACACCGTTAACATCAGCCACACTATTGTCGAGACGATGACGATAGCGATGATGCGTAATTGCAAAGAGCAGCAGCGGTGGCTGTGGCTGTTGTTGTCGTCGTTGCCGCAATTTATAAGGATTCTATTTAATTTCTAAACTATAGCGAGTAAACTATGCTAAAAAAAAGACTTAGAATTGGTACTTTTAGTAGCCTACTTAGGCCTATATACTATATATATATATATATATAATACTATAGTACTTACTTATACATTAATTATTAAGTTATTTATACACTTATTACTTATACAGTATTGAACTTTAGTAAATTAGTATAAATGCTATAATCACAAAGAGCAGTAGTGGCTGATTTAGCATTGATACTTTTAGTACTTTTGTTAGTATTTGTAATTTTATTTATTAATTAATATTGAACTCTTTACAGAATTTGGTACGAGTATATGTGTTTTAATCTTCTAGCGTCTAGCTATGCTTACAAGTTGGATCTGGATATTGACCTTGAGAACGCTGTGTGGCCAAAGGGAGCTTACGGTCTAACAAAACCGGAATTCGGATGCCCGGAACCGGAAGAGGGGTTCACCTGGCGAGAGGGAATGCGCTTTCACGATACCGAGGACAGTTTCCCTGACAACCAGTGGAGCGACATCTTGCACTTTTACGGAAACTATGGGTATTTTATAGATACGGTCGTGGATACCAGCGGTGTGTGTGGTGGGGGGGGGGGTGATGACTTGTGAGAAGAAAGACGGCTATATAGCTAGAAAGTGTTTAATTTTAATTTTTAATTAATTAATTAATTAATTATTGCGTAGTCGTAATTACAACAAAATCTTATCATTATAAGCGTGCGTGCGTGCGCGTGCCTGTGTGCGTGCGTGCATGTGTGCGTACGCGTATGCATGCATGCGTGCGTACGTGTGCGTGCTCACTATCACCCACACATCACTATAAATATAAAACACCGCACACACATCCTTCCACAGTAAGAACAACATGGAGCAGCATTTCTGCATGAAGACGACGGACCAGACCAGCGACTACGCGTGGCCACAGGGCCAGTACTGCCTTTTCCGTGCCTCCAACCAGGCATGCCCCGCCGGATTCAGAGATGGATGGATCAAGTTCGACGACGAAGACAGCTTTAACTCCAACCACGTAAGAGCTGCATTATTATTACCTATATTATATTCATATTTACCTATTATTATTACCTATATTATATTAATATTTATCTATTATTCATATTATTATTATTACCTATATTATTTTATTACTTTCTAGCTATTAATAGTATTGTTAGTTCGTGGTTATTTGTATATGAAAGACTGGCTCCCCGATTGTAGACTGGAGGCATCTCACGCACACCGCATTAGCAGCAGTTATAGCAGTTTTAGATTGTAACAGGAGTCTATCAAGAGCGTATTAAGAAGGTCCCCTTCTTAATACGCTCTTTAAAGCTACAACTACGACAATGTAACTACATAGCACTACAACAAAAACCTACATGAATCTACGACAATAACAGTAGTTATCCTATTGAGAAACGTACTAATTAAAGATGTGTTTATTATTATTATATTATATTGCATTACATTATATTATATTATGTCGTGTCATATGTCGTGTCGTGTCGTGTCGTGTCGTGTCGTGTCGTGTCGTGTCGTGTCGTGTCGTGTCGTGTCGGGTCGTGTCGTGTCGTGTCGTGTCGTGTCGTGTCGTGTCGTGTCGTGTCGTGTCATGTTATGTTATGTTATGTTATGTTATATCATATCATATCATTAGGAGTCTATGAATATCAATCAAGTGAATCCTAGTCATATCATAGCCAAGTCATATCAATCAATCAAGTCTACTGATAGACTCCACATAGCACTACAACAAAAACCTACAAGTTACATTGTCGTAGTTGTAGCTTTATGTAGGTTTTTGTTGTAGTGCTATGTAGTTACATTGTCGTAGTTGTAGCTTTATGTAGGTTTTTGTTGTAGTGCTATGTAGTTACATTGTCGTAGTTGTAGATTTATGTAGGTGTTTGTTGTAGTGCTATGTAGTTACATTGTCGTAGTTGTAGCTTTATGTAATTTATAGTTTTATGATTGTAGTTTCGTGAGTTTTATGACCATGGCAAAGGTAAGCGGGTGATTATATTATAACCTTGCTGATTTTAATCAAACTCCACGACAGATGGCGCTCTCGCTCTGGCTCAATTCACCACTTACCACAAGTAGATTTCCGTTAGAATTTCTAACCTAAAAACTTTGCAAACTTTAAAAATAGTGCCAGCCTTGCGGCACTGGTATCATGAGTTGTACGAAGGGGGACACTGCATGCAGTTTGGATTTTAATTTGCAGGTATCCGGAGAGGTGCCCCACGGTACGTACGATCACAATACTCTCATCTGGTACTGCTGCAAGACCCAGGGCTTCCACGACGTGCCCATGCAGCTGCCCCGCCACAAACCTTTCTACCTGTTCAAACACGGAGACCGCTGCCAGCAGGTATGTGTGCGCGATATATACATATACCTATATATATATATACATATACATATATATATATATATATATATGTGTGTGTGTTTGTGTGTGTGTTGAGAGAGAGGGGGAGTGAGAGGGGAGAGAGAGGGGCAGAGAGAGAGAGAGCGAGAGAGAGAGAGAGAGAGAGAGAGAGGGGGAGAGGGAGAGAGAAAAAGAGAGAGAGAGAGCGAGAGGGGAGAGAAGGCGAGAGGGCAGAGAGAGAGCGAGAGAGAGAGAGAGAGAGAGAGAGAGAAAGAGATATATATATAGAGAGAAAGAGAGAGAGAGAGAGAGAGAGAGAGAGAAAGAGAGATAGAGAGAGAGGGAGATAGCAAGTCAGGTTACCGTTTTAACCGACCGCGCATCGGCTGCCGCCGCGGCGACGTCCTTTCTGGTTCCGGTTCCCGCCCGACCTTTGACCTCTGACGTTTACAGGTGGCGGGTATGCATGAGAACGAGGAGTGGTTCCAATGGGACTCCGAAGACACGCCGCCTGGTAACGAATATGCTGGCAGCGTGCCAACTAGCGTCATCGGACAGAACGTCCGCATCTACTACTGCTACTACACGCCCAAGTTCAGGCGCCCCGACAGCCGGCAGTAGAGAGGGCAGCACCGTTCACCGACCTTTCCAGTGACGTCACAGGGAAGCAGTGATGGCGTGGATTGTTGACGATTGTTGTGTATAATGCGAAAACGTTCGATACGATTTGATTTGGTGTGATTACCGTGAAACTACGATCTATACATCAATAAAATTTAATATACGTCTATTTGAAAGCAGTCGGTGCTTTGGTGTTTATTTTGCGTCGTTTCCGATTGTAGCAATAAATCTGATATAGCATTGGTGTGTGTGTGTGTATGTGTGTGTGTGTGTGTGTGTGTGNCACACACACACACACACACACACACACACACACACACACACACACACACACACACACACACACACACACACACACACACACACACACACACACACACACACACACACAAAAAACACCCCCACAACAAAACAGACATGTAAAAAATATCGCAAACACAAACACGATGGGCGACACGGTTAAAATTAAATTTGTTTACAACAATTAAAATTTTATTAACAACGTATGAATGATATTTACAAATTATTACATGTTTCTCTGCACAACAATCACACTTGATAAATGTCTTAATTCTTCCTGATTATCCTTCTATGGTGTCATAATTGTCGTAGTTAATAGTCATCATCTTCAGCGTCTATATATAAAACCTCGTGTTTTATCGTCCAGTCATTACTCTACGGACACAGCTCAGCAATACATCAATGTCAAATATATATATTTACACACACAGCAAATATGAATATATATATATATATACATATATATATACGTGTATATACATATATATATATATATATATGTATATACGTAATATCGAGCCCACTATCATAATACTGTAATAATGTCATCTCATAACTAGACTGAACCTCTCATCTCAACTCATTTATATATATTCCCCATGAGTGCAGAGAAGGTGTAAATTTGAAATTTTACGTACTTTCGTGACGTCATTGCGGATGATGACGTACAACGCAGTTCCGGTGACGTAACGACTATCTATTGTCAATCACGTTTGCATTAGCATTAATCGGCTATTCGCGCGAAGTCCCGCGAGAACTCGCGAGAACGCAGAAACAAACACGCGATTGCTACACACCGTATAACAACCGTAATAAGTTTTTTAACGCGCGCGCATATCCACATCCGGGTACTCTCGGGATCTCGTCGCACATCCGGGGTGTTGTCACACAAATGGTGTCGCGCGGCGCCGCTAGATGACGCTGCACGTCAGCTTTTCGACCGTCTCGCGACACTCCTCACACTTGACGTCGCAGCACCACTGGAACTTGCAGTTGCATGACGTCAGCAGTTCGATTGTCCGCTTTCGCACCTTGAGGCCGCAGCTCTTACAGAGTACCTTGCAGGACTTGCGCTCGGAGCGGTGGGCTGAGTCGACCTTGCGGCGGGAGCAGAGGCGGCCGACGGTGCCGACCGAACCTGCTGTAAGGACGAGGAGAGATGCTGATGTTAGTTGATGCGGTAGAGTGCAGGTCGCTATATGTATGTGCGCGCGCACTTTCTCTCTCTCTCTCTCTCTCTCTCTCTTTGCTTCTCTCTCAGCTTCCTCTCAGCCTCCTCTCTCCTCTTATCTCTCCTCTCTCTCCTCTCTCTGCTCTCTCGTCGTCTCTCTCCTCTCCTCTCTCTCTCTCTGCCTCTCTTTCTTCTCTCTCTCTCCTCTTCGGTATCTCTCTCTCATTCTATCCTCCTCAGCCTCATCTAAGCACTCGTACACACGGCGATCGAGCTTATCGATTACCGACCTATCGACTATCGATCACCTGCTAGCATAAGTTGTTCTAAACTGTAGCGAGTGATCGATTATCGATCACGCGACCCACCTTCGTGATGTTCCGTCCGGCAATAAACGGCGATGCGCTCCAGATAGACGCAATCGCGACTTGCTTTTGAGTCGACGGTACTCCTCCCATGCGGCGCAGTATTGCCCAGCTTCAGTTTCTCCGCTTCTTGTAGTCGACGCCGTGGCGCTGCGTGGATTACGCTTCAGGTTGCACTGTCGGACTGGTACTGTAGCCAGGACGTCTGCGTGCTAACAGCTGCCGACGACAGGGCGTGGGAGATACCGATGCTCGTCGTCCGAGAGCATTTCTCGGTGACACTTGCAGACGCGCTCAGTGATTTGACAGGACCGACCGGCTGCGGTAGAGGAGTGTGTGTGTGAGTGTTTGTAAGTGTAAGTATTTGTAAAGTATTTAGTAAGTATTTGTAAGTCATATATCAGAGTATTATTATTTATTGATTTATTTATTTATTTATTTATTTATTTATTTATTTTATTTATTATTTATTTATTTATTATTTAATTATTATACGTATTCAGTAAGTATCTTAAGTATTGTAAGTATTTGTAAGCTGTTTGAACGGACCTGCCCTGCGGGGTAGAGGAGGTGTCATGTGTGAGTGTTTGTGTGATAGAAAGGGAGAGGAAAAAGAGAGGGAGAAAAATGGCTCTTCGTTCTCCTTTTATCGCTCTACTTCTCACTCTGCCCCCTATTTTTCTCACGAGCCTTACCGCTCATCGTTTGCCTGTATCCCTCTCCCACCTTCATACCCTCTATCCGTCTCCCTCTGTCCCTCTAGCCCCGTAGCGTATTCACGCCGGCTCATTCCCGTTCGTCTCTTCTGTGCATTCTTCTCGCTTCGTCCAGCCTTCGTTTCTTTGTCCCTCGTCCCGTTCTCCCTTCTACCCTCCTCCTACTCTTCTCGTCTTTTCTCTCCCTCCATCCATCGGCTCCCATCCCTTTCACCCCTCTATCCCTCCATTCACCCCCCCCTAGCCACCCCCAATGGAGTACTTACGGCTCGGCCTGCGTTCCGCTGTTGTGTAGAATCATGATGCTGTATGCTTCCAGCACCGTCTCCCTCAGATCGCCTCCCCTCCCTCCCATCCCTCTCCCCCTCTTCTTCCCCTCCCCCTCTTATTCCTCCACCGCCTCTATTCTCTCCCCCTAGCCACCCATGAGTACTTACGGCTCGCCTGCTTCGTCTGTTGTGTAGATTCATCGAGTGCGTGGCGTTCCAGCCCCCGTCTCTAGCGCGTCTACAAACTGCTTACTTGATTTGCTCTCGCGAACTGGACGTTGTCCGAGCAGCCCCGCCCCACGTCCAGGCCTGCAGCCACTGGCGTGAGAGAGAGAGAGCGTCGATGGCATGTGTCACGCAGCTAGTCGCCGTATATGTACATATATGTATATATATATATATATATATATATATATATATACACACTTCTTGCTACTCTAACACATTTAAGCGTCGCGGCTATGATTTTATTTAGTAACGCGCCTCGTGGTCGTTAAATATATATAGAGCCATATTCATTAGCATCGCCCGTGTGACTAATACAGCCAGTAAAACTAACAAGAAATAAAATAAACGGAAATCCGAACGATCTTGGCTCGCGGCGCCTTGCTTGCGGTGGGCGTGGCTCGTGTATGATTGACACGTGCATGGCAGCGACCGCCTCCCTCCTCCTCTACCTACCTTGCCCTTTCTTCCTATCGTCGCATCCGCATTTCTCGAACTCTCCCGCACTGCAGTTTCTCGTCAGCGTGTGCATGACCCCTGCAGAGCTGATGGCGTGTACGAAGGACGTCTCGCTGTTAGCTGCGGAGAGAGGAAGATGGGGGGGAAGGTGACGATATTGTACTGTAGCAAAGAGGTTCGAGCTAGTCTCTCTCTCTCTCTCTCTCTCTCTCTCTCTCTCTCTCTCTCTCTCTCTCTCTCTCTCTCTCTCTCTCTCTCTCTCTCTCTCTCTCTCTCTCTCTCTCTCTCTCTCTCTCTCTCTCTCTCTCTCTCTCTCTCTCTCTCTCTCTCTCTCTCTCTCTCTATCTCTCTCTCATTCTACCTCTCACTCAATACGCAGCTCTACACACTGCGATCGACGCTATCGATTACCGACTATCGTCTATCGATCACCTGCTAAGATAAGTTGTTCTAAATGTAGCGAGTGATCGATTATCGATCACCGACCCACCTTCGGTGATGTTCGTCCGGCAATAATCGGGCGATGGCTCCAGATAGACCAGATCGCGCTTGTTGAGCGACGGTAGCTCCTCCATGCGGCCAGTATTGCCCAGCTTCAGTTCTCCGTTCTTGTAGTCGACGCGCTGGGCTCGGTGGTATTTACGCTTCAGGTAGTTGCCCACCTGTCGGAACTCGGTGATCTGTAGCCAGCACGTCTGCGTGCTACAGCTGCCGGACACGCCGTGACATTTGCAGACGCGCTTCAGTGTTTGACGGACCGCCTGCGGGGTAGAGGAGGTGTGTGTGTGAGTGTTTGACGGACCGCCTGCGGGG